CCGGGAAATTTCGTTATTAATCGCCATAATCTCAATTTGGTTACTTAATTCAGAATGCGTAGTGTAGTTTCCGTCCAAAAATGTCGTTATTAATTATGGTCCGAGTGGTGACAACATATGGGACGATGTAGATTACAAGGATCACATAATATGAACAGGATAAAAAAAAAGTTTTTGTTTTTGTCGTCCAATTATTTTATACAACTTCAAATGTTTACATTGGCCATTTTATAGTATAACTCTAAGAATGTAATCTAGTTTGCCTAGCCAATTGGTCTACTTGACTATTAGGCTCACGTGAGATATGAAAAAAAAAAAAGTGAAATTACAAAGCTGAACTATCTTAGTAATATCATGTAGCTGTACTACGTAAGGAAGATGCGCCACCTGAGGATTTGTCATACTCTTACTAGAATCTTGCAGTAAACCATAGAGCTTTTGTAAACATTTCGATAGCCAAGCCTATGTAACTCACGACCACCATTCTCAAAACTTCTACTTCAGCAAAAGCCGAAGATTGTGTAGGTGGAATGGCTATGAACTGCAATTATAAAGAATCCATCTGATTCCCATATTATGATATTGAGAAAGCCAAGATGCATCAACTAGGCAAGAATGTTGATGGACCTGTTCAAAAATATGAGGTAAGCTTCTAGGGATAACCTTAGTAGATGGCTGGAGTGAATCAATTATGTTCCCTTGGGTCTGCTCATGTTGATGCAATTCCAATGCTTCAAGACACAAACTGTAATCTTGTAAAACTTTATTAATCACATACGGGATAGGTCATCTTTTATTGTTGAAGATTACTTCATTTCTTTGTTTCCATATTCTTCAACCTAAAAAGTGAAATAACAACGTCCGATCATTGAAATCTTGATTTGATGATATAAAACCAGCGTAGTTCTCTGTTAATATGTTAGAAAACAAAGAATCATGGTCAAGTCCATACACCGGAGCAAGTTTCCAAATTTTCTTATTGATCCGATACTGAAATAGCATATGATTAACCGATTCTTCTTTTTCACCATAAAAAAAAGGTTTACCTTATGATATTGAGGAGATGAGAGAAAAAATTATGCGGAACGAGAACAAAAGTTAAAAGGATAAAATAATAAGTATAATGCGGATTAAATTTTGACTAAGATTTTTATCCTCCTAAGATTCTAAACTTGCTTTGGTGTGGAATTGT